TTGTCTGGTTTGGTATCAGAGTAATACTGGTCTCATAAAATGGATTGAGAAGTGTTTACTCTAATTTTCTTTCCTGAAGGAATTTGTGTAGAGTTGTTATTATTTATTTCTCACATGTTTGGCAGAGTTCTTCAGTGATGTCGTCTGGGTGTTAAGATTTCTTTGTGAGCAAGTTTCCCCCCTCCCCCCTCCCGCTAGAAGAGGTTTAATAATTGATAAAAATATTTGTGGAAAAGTTTAAAAGTATGACTTCAGGGAGTTCTGGTCAAGATGGCAGAATAGACCATCCCTAGCGTCACTCTCTCCCGCAGATCAATCAGTTTACAACTATAAAAATGTAACAACAGACAAGCTGTGGCTGCTAGAGCTCAGGGGAAGAGGAGGAGAGACCTACAGAGTTCATGAAGGTGGGAGAAACCAGGATGAGAGAAGGAAAAAACTGCTTGGAGCATTTTGGGCTGAGGCCACTTTAAGGCTGGAGCTGCTGAGCTCATGCAGCAGGAGCTGGCAGAAGCCACAGCTGTGCCCTTCAGATGGAGTTGCTTGGAGGTGGCAGGTGAGAAGAGGGCCTTGGTGGCCTCCAGGACAGTAAGACCACTAATAGGATTCCTGTGGACACATACAGGAATGAGTAGCAAGAACAACTGAAAAAAAGTGCCACTCAGAGGCTGGTGAGTCATCATGAGGGACCGGCACAGGGTCTGGAAGTGTTTGGAGCATTGGCCGTGGTAGAGACGGGCCCACTGGGGGAACACTGGGACATAGCAAGGTCAGCTGATCCACCCCCCAGTCAGCACAGGACCACTCAGAGGAGTCTGGTCAGGAATATAGAATTGCATGGGGTGCAGTTTGATGAAAAGACTCAGGCCCAGATCAGAGTTTCTACACAAGCCAGGTGCCTTGGGTCTCTGGAGAGCCAGAAGTACCTATAAAGTCAACCTTTAAACCCTGAGCTGCACAAAAAGCCTTCCCTAGGGAAACAGCAGCAAAGCAGCAATTTAACTCAACCACACAGCTCAAGTACTGGTTCTTACAGGAAGTTCCTCAATTTTAGAAATAAGCAAAGGACAAAAAATTAGCTTTGGCCCAGGCACACCACCAGCGCCTTGGGGCCTGGCCCAGGGCATGGAGCCAGAGACCGCCCCCCCCCCAACCAGGCACACCACCAGCGCCAAGGAGCATGCCAAAAACATCACCTCCGTGGGGGTGGCCCACCACAGCCACCATACTAACCATAGCCGCCACGAAAGTGGCTAGACATCACAACAACCACGCAGATGGTCCGCCAGCCACTGGAGTGCATTGACACAAGAGTCACCAGCAGAGATCAAAGAAAAGAAGAGGATGTCTCTCTCCTCAAAGCCAATTCCAGAGTGACAGAAAAAGCATCTGCTCTATGATAATATTGGGGGACATGAACATACCTCTCAGCATTAGACAGATCATCTAGGCAACAAATCAACAGAGTAGCCATTACTCTTTCAGAGAGAGAGAGAAGAAATCTAGGGTTATCAGTGGTGGTGGTGGGGGGGAGAGAGACAGGGATAGGGAGAGATTGGACAAGGGGCATAAAGAATAAGTACAATTTGTAACAATATATATACTAGTAATACTGATTTGATCAACATATGTCAACATTGAATCCCAAAAATATGTATAATCAATTATGATTCAATTAAAAAAAGTATGACTTCAATTACTTTATTAGATATTGAGTTCTTCAGTGTCGGGCCTCCCTGAGCCAGAGGCCGACAAAACCGAGCGGGAAGAGACCCCGGTCCAGCCGGGGGTCCCTTGTGGGGCTGAGCGGGATGATGAGTGTCGCTGGCACGGCCCTTCCCCCCCAGGACCTTCCTCCCCGGGGGCCGAGAAAGAACACCACCGAGCCAGGAGAGTGGTCAAAGCCGGAACTCCGTTTATTTGCAGGGCGGCACAGCTTATATAGGGAAAAAGGGCAGGGCGGGTTTTGATATGAGAGATCAAGCAAAGAGCCAATAAGAAGGGCTTAAAAGGATAGGGTGAGGTGGTGGGGAGGCTTTACGCGAATACGGAACTAAAGTTGCTGAATCACTGGGACCCGGAAGGGCGAGGCTGGCAGCTACGTGCCGTTGAGCGCTAGTGAAATGGTGGCCGCGGAGTGCATGAACTGGCGCCCGTGCGCGTCAGGGCGCATGCGCGCAAAGTTATGCCCAACACTTAAGGTTATCTGTGTCTTAAGAGAACTTTGATAATTTGTATTCCAAAGAAGTTGTTTCATCTGAGATTTCAAATTTATTAGTATAAAGTTTTCCACAATATTACTATGTCCTTTCAATATATGTAGGATCTGTAATGATCCTCTCCTCTTTCATTCTTGATATTGGTATTTACTGTATTCTCTCTTTTTCTCTTGGTCACTCTGATTAGAGATTTATCAATTTTATTAACTTTTCAAAAAACTAGTGTTTGATTTTATTATCTTTATTATTATTATTGTTTTCAATTTTATTTCTTTCTATTTTTAATTTTATTATTTTTCCTTTTTCTTGCTTTGTGTTTAATTTGCTCTTTGCTAGTTTCTTAAGGTGGGAGCTTGGATTACTGATTTGAGACTTTTCTTCTTTTCTAAAATAAATATTTAATACATTTTCCTTTAAGCACTGCTTTAGCTATATCCCACAAATTTTGGTATTGTGTTTTCACTCAATTCAAAATATTTTCTAACTTCCCTTTTATTTCTTCTTTGACCCATGGATTATTTACAGGTGTGTTTATTTTATTTTATTTTATTTTTAAAGCCAGTCAAATATAGCCACAGTGGATTGAATACCAACTTTAGTGACACTAGTTTTAATAAGGTCTGATAACCCACTACCATTGGACCAGCTAGTGTGTTAATTTTCACACATTTGTGGATTTTCCAGATATCCTTCTGTTGTTGATTTCTACTTTAATTCTGTTGAATATAGAGAAAATTGTATGACTTCAATGCTTTTGACTTTTTTTTAGATTTATTTTATGGCCTAGCGTATATGGTCTGCCTTGGTGAATGTTTCATGTGCATGTCATGTGCATTCTGCTGTTATTAAATGGAATGTTTTATAAATGTCAACTAGGGTTAAATTGATTCTGAGTGAGTTTTGAATGTGTTGCAATTAGCCAGAAAAGAAAAGAGGAGAATAGTCACAGAAGTATGATATAACAGAGAATAATCTAATCCCTTCATTTTTAGTTGAGTGATGGTACAATTTGTCCAAAGTCACATACTTATGCCAGAGCTATAAATGCAACCCAAGCTTAATGAATAGCTTTCAGAGTTAATCAGAATGTTTTTCCCAAAGGTCATGAACTATGCTGAGCCTGACTTGGATTTTGATGACAAAGGCAGGGGAGTTTGGAAATAGCTCTGTTCAAGGTGGGAATTTGGAGAATTCGTTGATACTGCTTATATGGGCCATGTAGCATCCTAATTTATGTGTAATGACAGAAGTTCTTGTGCTTGGTTTAAATGGTTAGAACTTTGTATTAATAACAACAGTAATTTTATACCCCTTCAGTGTTTGGGTATCTTTTTACATGCACACAATGGCCTGGAGAATATCATGTGAGCTAGTATTGTTATTTTCCTCAGTATTTAAGTGAGAAAACAGAAGCTCAGAGAGATTAAGTGATTTGCTGAAGGTCACACAGTGATTGGTGGATTTAGGCTCTTACTAGTTCAGTGGTTCAGACTATATTTATTATTCATTTTACTAATTCTAATTGGCTATCTTAAAAAAGTGTGCTGTTTTTCATAAAGACATAAAAATACAAGGTTGTGGTTAGATTAATAGAGTTCTATATTCTATGGTTTCCAAGTTAGGATTCTACCAATTATTGTTGGGTCAGTAATCTATAATGAATAAAGGATAGTACATATCACTCTTCTTATAGCATAACTTCTGAATTGTACATAGCAGTTCTGAAATGTACATAGTGTGGAATGTGATGCACCCTGTTTTGTTAAGCATGTTTTCCCTTTTCTTTATTAGTCAGGAATGAAAGGATCTTTCTGAGCTTTATGGTTGACTGATTTCTAATACATTATTAGATTGTTTTTCAATGTTTTTCATGTGTAACTTCCAATAGGGAGTGTGTGATTAATTTTGCTTTAGTAATAGAGGTAGGAGATATGGAATTCAGGTAAATGTTCACAGGAATATTTTGTTGCTGGCTTTGGCTGTTCTTTCTCTAGCTAGAGAAAGAAAAGATCAAATATTTTGTTCTGGTTATCTTTCTTGTCTTTTGCCCGCTTGAACTTTCACTTTAATCCTTTTCAGTAGAAGAACAATTTGTTTTTGTTTTTTTAAAGCCACAACTCTGTCTGATGAAGTAACTAAATCTGTTTTTGCATTTCACAGTTGGGCACTTTATACTGTTTCGAGTTATTTTAGATCTCAGTTCTTCTGTTTTCAGAGTTTTATTCCTCCCACCTTTTAGGTGAAGTTTAATTTAGGGCGGCACTGACTGAAGCTCAAATCTGTTGCATCTGAAAGAGAATGGTGTGCAGGCAGTAATAAAGTAGACATTAAAGACTTTAGGAATGGATACTATTACTTTTAAACTTCCTTCTTGAAAATGGAAAGTAATATTAGTCTATGTCTTTTCTAGGGCTTCATATTTTTTAGAGCACTCTTAGAGACTTGCTGTATTGTGTTTTCTCTGAGATCAGAGAATGTATATAGCATGCCTCTGAATCCCCTGTCCTTCAGGAATAAGTGTTCCATAACAACCTCAAGAAGAAGTGTTTGTGGAAAGTATGTTTGAATAATGGTGACTTCATGTGATGGTTTTGTGAAACTTTTGTCTAAAGCAGGAAATGCTCAATTGGTCACCTGGTCTTTTGATAAGTGTCTTTTCTGCTAGTTTGTTTAGATGTAGCCAGCCTATTTCTCAGCTTTGAAGTAGGCCCTCTTACAACTGTCATATTAAAATGTGACGTGAACAAGAAGAACTAATAGTGTGTTTTCTTTCTCTTGTAGATTCATGCCCGCAATCAAAATGAAATAATTTTTGGGCTGAATGATGGCTACTATGGTGCTCCATTTGAACATAAGGTAAGAGGATTCTCCTAATGTTATGAGTTTTGTTTAGTGCAGGTGTGCCTTGCAGGCGTACAGAGTAGATATAATACTGAAAAGCTCTTTGTAGGGCCGGCCCGGTGGCGCACTGGATAAGTGCGCCGCTTGGGAAGCGCGGTGGCGCTCCCGCCAAGGGTTCGGATCCCACATACAGACCGGTTCCCGCTCACTGGCTGAGCGGGGCGCGGGAGCAGCACCGAGGGTTGCGATCCCATTGCCGGACACGGAAAAAGACAAAAAAAATAAATAAAATAAAATAAAAGCCCAGCCTGAGCCTGCTGGATGACAAAATCCTTAAAAAAAAAAAAAAAAAAAAAAAGCTCTTTGTAAATAGAATGGTGTATCAAACTTAAAAGTGTCAAACTTGTAAGTATCATTGTAAGTTTATTGCTTAGTGTGGCTTAGGGTGAATGTTTTTTAAAGTGAAGACTCATTTTGTATGGCATATAAAAACTCCAATTCATCTCTTCTAAATCCAGATTATATTAATTTTCCTAAAGGAAAACCTGAACTAGCTATTTTCTCTTTCTCTACATAATTCTTTGAAGCTTAAGAAAAAATGGTGAGTTTTTATTAAATATAGTACAGTTTTATTAAATGTTTCAGATGTCTTTTATAACTTTCAATAAATTTAAAAAGCCACGAGTCAAGTTGTTTTACAGGCAGTATCTATATCTAAAGGTGATTATGGAAAGGAGAGGGAAGAAAATCCACATTTACCAAGTATCTACTATTTATGTTACTATGCCAGGTGATTCATGCTCTTTTTTCCCACTTAATACTAGCCACAAACCACTGTGGTGAGTTTTGTCCTCTCTATTTTATAGATAATGAAACAGGTTGTGAGGGATGAACTTCATAGGATCATAAATCTAGAAAGTGGCATGAGCTGAGATTTCAGGTTGCCTGCCTGTAAAACCTGTGCTCTTATGGTGTTTTACCTGTAAAATTCTGAAGCCTATACATTATTCGCTCTTAATGATTATGTTGTTTTATAATTCTTGGTTGTCTGAAATGCTATTGCTTAATTAGACTATTAAGAATTCTTTTCTCAAACTAAAAACTATAACAGCAATATCTTTAGAGTCCAGTAGATGGCAACACTTTTTCATTTTAATGGGAAAAGAATTAGAGCAGGAATGGAATTCAAGTCAAAAGGATCAAATATTTTAGAATAAAAGAAACTCTTAGGAGATTGAAATCGCAATTTGGTGATGAATTTCACCAACACAACCACGTAACTTGATTGTCTCAAGTACCTATTCAAGCTGAGATTGAAGATTTAGGAACAACAGCAAGTTTTAGGATCTGCTTTGAGAGCCAGTACAAGTGAAAATTCCTTATTTTATATTTTTCAAAGCATGGTACTTTTGAAAAGTAGAAAAACTGTATTCTAATCCCAGATTTGTTTTGGTACACACTGTGTTCCACGAGCAAATTACTTAACCTCTCTTAGTTTTAAGTTCCTCATCTCAAAACTAAGAAAATCCTTATCACCTGGTTAACACTGAAGGGAATATTAGAGTTATCTAACCTAAAACCTTTATGTCATAGATGGAGAAACTGAGAATCAAGGAGCCTTATGACCTATTGAACTTGACAAGTTAGTTTCATGCTATAGATGATAACTTTAGACGTAGCTGTGCAAAATCATCGCATACTTAGTCTCATAGTTCTTTAATCTTTAATGATTTACCTATATATAATTTCAGTCCATCCCTACAGCAACCTTGTAGGAAGGTAGGACAACTATTATTATCATTATTTGCTTTATAAGGAAATTGATTCATAGAGAGGTGAAGTGATTTACTTTAATTCTGTGGCTTAGTCATTTCTATACAGTGAATTGCTCCCTGCTCTTTGCTCCTGAACCCTTTGGACATACCTCTGTTAGTAGATGTATCAGATCATCATAATTTTTTGATGGTATATCTGTGTCTCTTTCTAGAGTTCACAGACTGTATCTTAACTTTGTATGTCAGATAGCAGCCTCAGTAGCAGGCATCTAATATAGTAAGTACTTGTGGAAGAAATGATTGGCCAAGGTATCAGGATGAGTTAGAGGCAGAACTGGGATCACAACACATCTCTCCCTCTAGATATACATTTTTCTTCATTATACCATGTTATCTGTGAAAAGGTAAGGGCTAGATGATTTTCATCATTTAATTTCTTTTTGAGATTTCTTCCATCATTTAATTTTATTAACTGTGCTTAAATGCTGTTATAATTTCTTTAATTTACAGCAACTCAAGTAGGCAAGTGTTAGCATTTTCATTTTCAGGATAAAGATGCTGAAACCCAGAAAAGTTAAGAGATTCTCATTTAATTAACCTTGGAGAACTGAGTAATTAAGAAGAAATTCCTTTTGCTAGTCATTCATGTTAATGGATACTAACTTGTTTCCAAAGCACGTCCCATATAGCACACAAGCAGAACATTCAGAGGTAGGGATTAAGTGTCCCAAGTAGAGCCTGTATTTTTTTTTTTTTTTAAAAGATGACCGGTAAGGGGATCTTAACCCTTGACTTGGTGTTGTCAGCACCACGCTCACCCAGTGAGCTAACCGGCCATCCCTATACAGGATCCGAACCCGTGGCCTTGGTGTTATAAGCACCACACTCTCCCGAGTGAGCCACGGGCCGGCCCGTAGAGCCTATATTTTAACAACAGACAGCTAGATATGGTATAATTTCTGTCCAGGTCTTTCAGTATCCTCAAGGAAAAGTTGGAAAGTCATAAAAATAGCTCATTCCTATACATATTCTATTCAGCTTCTCCCCCTCCCCCATTCCCCCATTACAAAATAGAAGAAAGACTGGACAAATCCTCAGGGGCTGTTTATAATAGCTTCCTGATTTATTATAAAACATCTAGATATCTGAGCCCAGTTTAAATCCAGGGTAAAACTTTGATTCTCCTTTGAATTACTTCAGCTGGTGTGATCTCCTAGTAACAGTATTATGCCAGGGGGTTCAAAACTCCCCACCCCCCCATTTTTGTTTTATTTTGTTTTGTTTTTATCTTACTTTTTATTACTCAATTGGGATTGGGCATTTTTATGCAAGGTAGTTTTCTAAGAATATAGTCACAGAGAATATAAAGCTCTGCTGTAAAGGCTTAATTCCAAAAGAGGTGCAGAACTTTTAAGAACTACCATTGGTACTTTTCATTTACTGAGTGCCTGCTATGTTTCAGACACTATACCAGATACTTTATGTGTTTTTATTTAATCTTGCAATGACCCTATGAGGTAGTTATTATCCTCATTTTATGAGTGAAGTACCCTAGAAGAAAACATTAAAACACTGTCCAAGATTATGTAGCTAGCAAGTAGCAGATCTGTGATTTGAACTGAGGTGTGCCTCATTTGCAGGCTTGTTCTCTTAACCATGATGCTACATGGTGCTCTACATTTCTTCCTACTTCATATAGTATGTCAAAGTACCAGGTCTCTATCTTTACCTTTAAGCAGAGATATCCACTAGCTGTGCACTGTGAGAATCAAATGAGTGAGTACATGGGCAAGTAGGGTGGGCATACAACACCCAGGAGACCATCAACCCACTGAAGTCCATAGAAGTTCCATACATTAGTCACTTTATTTGGCTTCCCTCTGAGTCTTTTTTTTTTTTTTTTTCTTTCTCCCTCCTTTTCTCTTGGATCAAATTATCTTTTGACAGATGTTTGGAAAATCATTTTATCCTGTAATTCATATTTATAAATCCTGCTGTTGCAGTGTGGTCCCCATTCTCTCTCTTCTTTGAAACCAGAGAATAATCTGGGAAAATACCACATTTCCTGTTATGAATTTTGAGGATCTTATCTTCTTAGCATAATTTTTGAGCTTTTAAGAATTTTAATTCTGGAAAATTCAAAGCCAAGCATGGTTCTTCATATGGATGTTTTAGATTCTTGAGAAGTAAACAGAAACAGAGCTTTAGACTTGTTCTCTTCAGAGAGTTTAAAATTTTGAAAACTTGATTTTACTATTAGATTTTTTTTGGCTTTTTTTCTTCTAGAATATTCTGTTAGATTTGTAATGAGGGCATTTTTGATCTTTTTTTCCCCTCTAAGTCAATTTCAGTTTAAACTGTTCTCGCTCAAAGCTGGGAATCCTTTCTCTCTCTCTCTCTCTTATCTCTTCACTAATGCTAATCAACATGCTGCTGGGCTGGATCTCAGATCCTTCTAACCCTTCCTGTGTAGGCTGTGAGTCAGGTAATTGAAAGAAGATTCTTGCAGCTTTATGCAAGTAGACATACTTTATTCTTCAGATGTGAGCTTCACAGACATGCTTTATCCTCAGATATGAGCTCTGCCTCTACTCTGCCAACCCTCCATGCTCTGCCATCCCTCCGTGCTCTGCCATCCCTCAGTGTTCTGCCAACCAGTGGTTCAGAGCAGTTACCTTTGTATTCTTAGTACACAATAGTGGCTACAAGCCAAGCATTACATAATTACAGTAATCATGCTGAATCAGTAAATGGGCACACATGCACAGTTACACTACTTTTATAACTTGTTAATAGTGAATGTGCTGAATCTTGCCTATTTGTAACAGATCTGAGGCAAGTGAGCCTGACTAAACTTTTTCTATTTTCCTTACACATGCTATCACTGTTGCTTTCTCTCCCTTCTCTCACTTCTGTCTTCTATTACAGTTATAATTTATGTATAAATCCTTTCTTCCTATTAGGAGATATATTACTTTCAAAGGACGGAGGTTATGCTTTACTCACTTTTATAGTGTCAGGATTTAGTGTAGACTTGGCTTAGAGAATATTTTTACATGAATGAATGAAATCTACTTGGATCATATTGTTCCTATCTCTATTCTAAAATAGACTTTTCACATAAGAGATGGTTACTTCAGCAGAGTCACTTTCAATCATGGAGTAGCATTGAAGACAGTATACTTCATACTTGGAGTGCATGACTGTGATCGTGAATATTTTCTGAGGGTTGTTTAAAAT